CTCCTCGAAAAGCTCAAGAAGGTTTGCTGTGTTCGCTGCCATAAAAAAATTCTCTAGCCACGAAGAAAAGCTCTTGGCGTATCAGCTGAACGTGGGCGCTGTGTACTTCACGCTTTGGTATCCCACGCTCGCACTACCGAAGACAGCAGCACCACTTCCCATGGAGCTGCTGAAACAAGCTTGATTGTGAGCAGCGGCTACTCTCACCTCTTGGGGGTCTGAACCCCCTACTTCGCCGCTGTGTCGTTCCGAAGGACCAGACTCTTTTCGCAGGTCCGCTGCCTGCGCGCTCCCGTCGTACTGCACGGTCCCAAAATGACCTGCAGTGCTTGTGGCGACGCTCTCCACGGCGCCGCCGCTTTCAGCGGCGCCCTCCGTGGCACCGCCGGACTTCTCCTCGATACGTGCAGCAAATCCTCCGACCAGCTGCACCAGCTGGCCCGTTTGCTGTGTCAGCGAACTGATCTCAGACCGTATGCTGTCGATCTGCTCGCTGCTATTTGTGTCTCCTGCCTGCGAGCCGTCCCGAGTGGTCCCTCCGGTTCTGCGGCCCGCCATCCCTAGTGGCCTCCCTCGAGGGAATAAACACTAGTGTGTTGGTATGTCCGTACTTNCGATACGTGCAGCAAATCCTCCGACCAGCTGCACCAGCTGGCCCGTTTGCTGTGTCAGCGAACTGATCTCAGACCGTATGCTGTCGATCTGCTCGCTGCTATTTGTGTCTCCTGCCTGCGAGCCGTCCCGAGTGGTCCCTCCGGTTCTGCGGCCCGCCATCCCTAGTGGCCTCCCTCGAGGGAATAAACACTAGTGTGTTGGTATGTCCGTACTTGGGAGGAGAAGACACGCTTTAACTCTCTCTGATTAGGCACCCGCGAGAGCGAGGAAAGGAAGGGAAGAAGTGGCCCTCCCGAATTCGGGGAAGGGGGCCCACACATAGTAGCCTTTTTCAGGCCCAAGCGCATGCTCCTGTCTACGTACCCCCCCCGTGCTGCTAGCAGATCTACCATGCTCGTATCCAGATACCCGAACAGATATTATGTGTGTCGTTGTTGTAGTGTTCAAAATGGACAAAAAGATCTCAATGTGCGCCAAATGGTTGGAGGAACAAAAGAATCCGCACGAGGTTCTAGAGGTTCTGAGAAAGCTACACCTTGACTCTTTAAACAAGATCGTCGCAAGGTGTGGATACAAAATTTCGGTGCCGGGCACAACGCAGGTCCCGTCAAGATAGAAATCCGGCAATTCTCGTCCTTATCAAGAAGAAGTCATCCACGGCAAGGAAGGCGAAGATGCGGAAGGGATACCTGAAACAGGTACAGACGGCCTGGGATCGCGTTGTGTCATTCGGGAAATTAGACCTTCCCCGAAAGTGGTCGGCCCGGCGCGCGATACACTCGCGGAAGGTGTCCTTCACTGGACTCGCCGATTTTGACGACCTCCTTAGAACGGTGCGCTTGCTATCGCCCTATACGTCTCCCGGTTAGAGCTCCCGCCGGAGGAGAAAAGCATGCCGAGAATAACACGTCAGGAGTCCTTGGAGGTCAAGTGCAGACGTGGATTAAGCAGGAACTCGCTGCACAGCCTTGTGACCAACAAGGTGGCCATAGCTGCGAAGGTTGGTCCCGGGACTGTCCTGAGCAAGGAGGGGGAAGATTTCGTGGAAGATGTCTTGGTCTAGACTATTACGCTTCCCGACACTTTTTGCTGTTGGGTCGGAGGGAGCTGAAAGACGCTGTGCGGAAGATCTGCCTCGACGGGCGCAAGGTGTCCTGGGACCCAGACAAGGGCCCGGGAGACCGCTGGCTTCAGTGGTTCCTGAAGAGGCATCCGGAGTTGTCGGAGCGAGCCATCCACACCTACGAAGCAAACAAGATCAACGAAGACGACGAGTCTGGCCTTGAAGCCTACGAGACCTGGGACGCGTACTTCGCGGAGACCAAGCTCACGCCGGACCGAATCATCAACACGGATGAGACAAGTGAGTTAGGACAAGGGCTGAGGTGTCAGTGGTGTTTAGTGGTGTCTAGTGGTGTCAGTATCCACTGCTGTGGGTTCGTAGGAGAGGTACCAGCAGCACTGCGATGTGTCACAACAAAGCGGAGTTCTGCCGCTGCGGCGAAAAAAGGAAGCAGTTGTTCCGCATATCTTTGCAGGGCGGCTGCGCCTGTCATGCACACACAACGCCGTGTGAAACTGGATCCGGTTGAGGGTTGAACATGCAGCATTCTCTGTGGGCATCTCAGTTTACTTTACGAAGAAATGGTCGGGCTCGTTCATGATAGGACATTTTGGTGCAACCTGCAGCAGCGGGCGTGTGTGCTGTTGGTCCGCACATGCATTTTGTGTTGCTGAACGCAACGCGAAGTGTAAGCAAGCCGATAATTCAGTAGGACAATCTGTTTATGTAAGCCCACCTTAGTTTGGAGCTCCATGTAGACTGTCATTGGTAGTGGAGTTTTTGATTCACACCCAAAGTCTAAACGAATCCAACAGCTGTTGCACACAAAAAAAATTGTCCCGTCACCACCGCTTGCAAATGTCCCTTGCGAGCAGCGCTCAGGTGTGTGTACGCGCGTTTTTTTTTTACGTGCGAGCGCTGCTGCACAGTATGTCTGTTTTACAGACTGTTTGACTGCCTTTCCCCCCGATGCACGCACGTTCTCCCGTGTGTGTTGTAGGTTCCACCCCGCAAGGTGCATAGTCCGGGAAGGCCATCGTCCCTGAACGATAAACTGAAAGATAAACTACGCGGGTTGCAGCAAGCCCGTGTTGGGCGTCTCTTGGGGCAGTGGGTAGTCGGCCGTGTTAGGCCGAGAGAGAGAGG